GGAATGGTGACCCATAATTAATTGCACACTGACATAATGAAGATTTATTGCAGCTGAGTGATGATCGAGTTACATTGATACTGATGGCTTGAAGCTCAGACTAGTGAGGAGTAGTCTATTGGAGGAGGCCACATGCATGGTGTGGATGATATCAAGGAAGAATCACTAGACTGGAGAGAACTCCTTGCCTTATATTGTCTCTATTCTCTATGTTGTGAGGCTGCTCACTGATCAGACTGATCAAACTGGCCTTCTGCAATTATGAGGTCAAAGTAGATACAGTTCCTGCCACAAGGAGCTTACGAACTAAATTTGTCAGAGAAAGGGGAATTACACAAGGCATGTGTGATCTTTTCTTACTGCAGTATGTCAGATTCCTGCCTCATAAGAGGAGTAAGTCACAGAAAAGACTGCCTGAACTTGCGGTAAAATTCCTTTGTAAAGGTTCCCATTCTGCAGGATAGTATTGATCCCTAGGAACTCCACCAGGGTTTGCCAAACTAGGGGATGGAGAGCAGGTATAAAGGCTCATGCCTCAAAAGCAATGAAGCATACATCTCAGGAAATGAGATTCCCTTCTGTGGTTTTCCATGGGACGGTTGGAAGAGGTTAGTCTGCCATCCTTTCACCTCACCTAACTCAGCCCCCCCCCCCCCAAGTTGCTGGTTACTGTGCTTGGAAAAGTGTCCCTCTCAACATTTCCAAACTTCCCCAATCAGTCCTCACAAGCAGTAACTGAAGTGCCAGGGGGATTCTGGGAATTTGCATTCAACAAATACATTGTTGAACCGGGACTGTGGCACAGCTAGCTGGGAGTCAGCTGCATTAAGATCACTACTGACCGAAAGGTCATGAGTTCAAAGCCAGTCCGGGTCAGAGTGAGCTTCCGACCAATTTTGTGTAGCTTGCTGTCGACCTTTGCAGCCCAAAAGACAGTTGCTGTTGCACCTCAGGGTAAAATCACCTTGCTTAAGACATCAAAGAACACACCAGCAGTAGTCTTTATGGTGTATTAAAATAAAGGATAAAAGTTCAAAAGGCAAAAGTATATTTCAAAAGATCAATCCAAGGTAACATAGGCAAACAAGATCCATGAAGACACAGGCAAGGCAAAGTCCCATGAGAACATGACAAAGTCCTGAAACATGAACATGAAAGCTGCAAGATAAATCCAAAGTCCCTTGGATTAAGCGGGAAGTTGCTCTGACACTGAGGCATGTTCAAACAGCCTATTTAATACTCTTTGGACAACATGAAGGTATTTCTATGGCCCCGAGCCTCCCTCTCTCGCCTGCTAGCGATCCTGACACTCCTTTGGACCTTAAATTCCAACTGATCAGCTCTATCTAAGCCTCCAGCTCCATCAAGGTCAAGTTCCTCATTAGTGCTTTTTCCCTCATTATCAGGCTGAGAACTATCTGGCTGAGAACCGTCCTGAATCCACCTGACTCTCAGTAGTTTCACTTTCCCCAGCGTCATCCCTTGCTGTGGGAAACAACTGAACTTCTGCCCCCTGTTCCTGGTCTTCTTTGTCTAACACAGGAAAATCATAACTTTGCACCTGACTGTGCATCTGAAACCCATCATCCCCATCAGAATCATTGACACTATCACTCTGAGATTCCAGCTGATAGTTGCATCTGTCAAATAGGAAATTTAGGTACCGCTTATGCGGGGAGGCAAATTTAACTAATTTACGAGACCATAAAAATCTCCAGCAAGCATGCAAAGAATGAGGAAGTACTTCATCAGTGTCACAAATGGTTGGTGAAGGGACAGCTCCCCTGGTGGCCAGAATATCCTCAAGAAAAGCTGTTAAATTACCTCTGTGTCTGTCTATATATGCTGTGTGTTTATGGCATTGAATATTTGCCATGTATATGTACATTGTAATCCGCCCTGAGTCCCCTGCAGGATGAGAAGGGCGGAATACTATAAATAAATAAATAAATAAATAAATATCTAAGCTTTGGCAAGTACCTGGGAAACCACTGAAGGTCTTTTATTTTAATATTTCCTGAGGTTCTACTCTTTCCATTTCCTGCTCACCAAAGTTTACTCCCACATTCTCCCCCAGTGAGCTTTGAATGAAAAAAAAACATCATTTATGAAGGAGCTTTTGCAATTCTGCCTCTTCATTTGCTATTGGAGTACTGACTGGCACAATGGGTTAAACCCTTGTGACGACATGCCTGAAGACCGACAAGTCATAGGTTCAAATCCGGGGAGAGAGTGGATGAGCTTCCTGTATCAGCTCCAGCTCCCCATGCAGGGACATGAGAGAAGCCTCCCACAAGGATGGTAAAAGCCCCAGGTCTCAGCGGTGGCCGGGAGAGCTTTCGCACAATTAAAACTTGTGCGCCAGCTGCGCCCGTACCTTGGGAAGTCGGATCTGGCCACGGTGGTCCACGCTCTTGTCACATCCCGGTTGGATTACTGCAACGCACTCTACGTGGGGTTGCCTTTGAAGACTGCTCGGAAACTTCAACTAGTCCAGCAAGAAGCAGCCAGATTGCTCACCGGAGCGGCGTACAGGGAGCATACCACCCCCCTGTTGCGTCAGCTCCACTGGCTGCCGATCCAATTCCGAGCACAATTCAAAGTGCTGGTTTTGACCTACAAAACCCTATACGGTTCCGGCCCAGTGTATCTGTCCGAACGGATCTCCCTCTACATCCCACCTCGAAGTTTAAGATCTTCTGGGGAGGCCCTGCTCTCAACCCCGCCAGTGGCACAAGTGAAACTGGCGGGGACGAGGAGCAGGGCCTTCTCAGTGGTGGCCCCCCACCTGTGGAACTCACTCCCCGGGGAGATCAGATCGACGACTTCCCTTCTAGCGTTTAGGAAAAAACTAAAGACCTGGATGTGGGACCAAGCTTTTGGCCATGCTGACAACTAATCTAAAGGACCTGTCGATAGACAAGGACAATGGAATGGAATGGATATATGGACTCTGATATATGGACTCTGACATGAGATAGTTTTTATGATTTTATTAGGTATTGGTGTTTTATTTTAATTGTTGAATTGTTATATTTTGTATTGTTTGTTGTGTGATTTGGGCATCTAATTGTGCCTCCTTTGTAAGCCGCCCTGAGTCCCCCCCGGGGTGAAAAGGGCGGGGTATAAGTAGATGAAATAAATAAATAATAAATAAAATATCAAAAAATAATCTGGGCATCCTCTGGGAAGTTGCTTCTGACTTGAAATAAATTGCTATAGTTTTTGCAGTTTCTTTATATATCACATGACTTCTCATTTTCAGTGTAGTCATTTCTTTCCAGTTATGATTCAGAACAAGAAACTGCATGTGTGCATATATCCTTCCTTTGTGACAATTCAGCACTGTAACTTAGATCAGTAGTTCTCAACAGGTGGGTCCCCAGGTGTTTTGGCCTACAACTCTCAGAAATCCCAGCCAGTTTACCAGCTGTTAAAAGTTGAAAGCCAAAACATTTGGGGACCCACAGGTTGAGAACCACTGAATTAGATGTTTAAGAAGTGTCATAGAATCACAGATTCATAGAGTTGGGAGAGACCACAAGGGGCTATCCAGTTCAACCACTTGACAAGCAGGAAAATACATGCTTTGACTGTATATTCCTGCTTGGCAGGAATAAAGGTGCTCTTTATTGGGTATGGTTTTCATTTTACCATTTTGATTAGCCTTTTCTGGATATATTTCTGTTTGTCAATATCCTTCTTGAATTGCAGTATCCAGAATTCGACACAGCATTCCAGGTAAAGTGGTACAAGGAGAGGGAGGGTTTTTTTTTATCATGCTTGTATTTATGGTGTACAGAAAATAATTCTTTAAAAACACCTATGTTATGCATTTCACCAGTTTCATTTCATCAATGTGATAGTTTCATTTCACTGTTATTTGTTTCATTGGGGTTTTTTTATCAGCTAAATGAATTCTATTAGCTGAAGTATGGGCGTAATCAATATATTCACATGTACCCTAAGTATTTTTCTCAGGCCACATCTACACTGTCATATAATCCAGTTTGAAATGTAATGCAGATTGAACCACTTTGAACTGGATTATATGAGGCTACACTGCCATATAATCCAGTTCAATGCAGTAAATCTGCATTCTGAAATAGGATAGCAGTGTAGATGGGGCCTTTCTGAAAGTGAAATTTTAAAATCTATTTACCAATCTTCCATAGGAGGTTAATATCTTTTCTGCAACTAATCCCAATTATCGTGAGTCTCAGTGAGGACCCAAAGTAGCCAATCATTCTCTTGAAATACTATCCACTGGGAAAAATACAATATTTCTCTGTTGCTATGAATGGGACTATTCGGTTGGGGGTTAAAGCAGTCACTGACAGCAGTCACTGAAATACACTGTTTTCCCTACCGATTTAGTTCCAGCTTTGTTTTCTATTTTATTTTATTTGGTCACATTAGATTGTTGATAACGTATTGGGATCTGACATTTATACAAAGTAATTAGTTAAGGAGAAGGAAATGAAAGGACTCTGTTGAAATTAGGGAGAAGCACAAATGAGATGATAAACATAGCACATGTCAATATTCTTACAACTCATGGTGACCCCTGAGATCTTTGTTGGAGGGCACATAGATGGTTCCACAACTAATTGAATGCCACTGGTCAACATCTAACACTTTTCAGTGGCAACACTCATTCTTTGGAATACTCTCACCCATGTAATTCAAGTCAGAAGGTGGGTGAAGTTTTAAATCTTATTTATTGAAGCAGACTTACTTTCACTGGGAATAATCATACCTGTAGTTCTGTTTATATATCCTTACTTATGCATTTATGATGTTTTTCGGGGGGAAGCTGTCATTTTAAAATTGCTTTTAAATTGCCTTGTATGGTTTTATATTTTATGATATATATATTTCAAACTATATCTGTTTAGAGATTTTATTGCCTTAAGTGGCATTTGAACATAAAAAAATTACAAAGAAACAAATTGGAAAGTGGCAGCGGAAACTATAACCGTTTGTGTTTTGCTTTTCAGGCAGAACAGGATAATGGGCATCCTCTTCCGGCATTTGCCAACCTGCATATTGAAGTTCTAGATGAAAACAACCAGAAACCTTATTTCACAGAATCAACGTATGAGGGGTTTATTTTAGAATCCTCCCCTGTTGGTACAACTATCTCATACAGCCAGAATCTGACATCTCCACTGCAAATCGTGGCATTGGATAATGATGTGGAAGAGGTTTGTATTGATTTCTAGTCTTTGATATGTGCTCTGTGAAATGCTCTGTTTGACCAGTGGTCATATGTAATTTCACTGCTGTAATCATCACATTGCAGAATTATAGCACAATAGTCCACCTTAAGACTATAGGCAAGACTATAAGAGTCATGGCTGTACCCTATGGCATCTTGGGATTTTGTAGTTTGGTGAGTCGTTAGTTTTGAGAATTTTCTAGGGTGTTGCTATGGCAGTTAAAATGGGATCGCAGTGCTATCATTGTGTGATATAAATAGTAGGTATGGTTAGGTCCAGTCGGAATCCTCATTATTTGGAATAAAGTCGGAAAATTTTCCTTTTTGAAGCAATTTTGAAGTTTTTAAGAAAACCGGAGGTCCCTTTGCCCTTCTGAAGCTTTTTCATCATTTTTGTTACAACTCATGAAGTGAGCCGGAAATTATTCAGCTTTCCTCCCCCCCCCTCCCCCCCGTTTCTGGTCCCTGGCCTTGGCTCAAGCCAGAGAAGCAAGTTATAAACCAGAGAAGCATGAATTTGCTCCTCTTCTGTCTCAAGCCAGAGAAGCAAGCCAGTTTTAAAGCCAGAGAAGCAAGTTATAAACAGAGAAGCATGAATTTTCTCCACTTCTGTCTCAATCCAGAGAAGTCAGCCAGTTTTAAAGCCAGAGAAGCTAGTTATAGAAGCATGAATCTGCTCCCTTTCTGTCTCAAGCCAGAGAAGCAAGCCAATTTTAAAGCCAAAGAAGAGAGTTATAAATGAAGCGTGAATTTGCTCCTCTTCTGTCTCAAGCCAGAGAAGCAAGCCAGTTTTAAAGCCAGAGAAGCTAGTTATAAACCAGAGAAGCATGAATTTGCAAATTTCCTCTGCTTGCTTTCCCCCGCTCCTGGAGTAAAACAACTACTTTCAAAGTAAAGACCACCCAATGAAACAGGAAATAACACTTTCAAACAATTAAGGATTTGGAAGTCTCTGAAGTTTCRAAAAGTTTTGAACTTTTTTTTTCTGTGAGAATCGGAATTGACTTTAGAATCGAACCACCGGCATCCCCTACATCCGAAACGAGTTTTGAACCATTTTTTTTAAATCAAACAAGCCTAGTAAATAGGTCCACAGTGTCACTACTGGATATGTTATTTTAAAAAAAAACAATAGAGTAAACATGGATTTCAGAATATTCTGGCACATTTCTGAGTATCTTGATCTCTTACTGCACTCCTTTAATACAAATGCTGTTTTCAGATAATCACGGCATTCTAGGATCCATTGTAGAGCAATGCAGTATTTTCTCTAATGGCTTTTGCAACTGAAGTGTTTTGAGTTCAGAATAGAATGGAAGTAATGAAAATGTGTAGTGGCTGTGAAACAGGCCTGTTCTGTTAGCTCAGTTTGCTGGATGAATTCAGGCATTTATAAAGGACAGAATATTAACAGCAAGATAAATTGAGAGATATGTCTCTCATGGCATATAGTCCAAACATTTTTTTCTCTCTCTCTGAGTAGATGGAAATGAAATAACTTGTAGAAAGGGAAGGTGTCAATCATGTCCCTGTTCTTTATTATAAAGTCATAGGAGATGTTATGCGGTAGATGAACTCCAGGTGTTTCCAAATGGGAAAAAATATCAAAGTCACAGGTTTGGTGTCTGTGCAAACCAATTTTGCTTTTGAGATCCATATTGATGTTCTCCACATTCTGATGTATTTCCTGGGAGCACTCCAAGACTTTTTATTCCTGTTCCCCAAGTTGGTTTAAATTCTGCTTGCATGTGTGTTATTGCTGTTTTGAAAGGAGTAAAGGTGACCCCTGCCAAGTAAATCCAGCTGGTTTTTTTCCAGGATACAGAATCAACAGAGATCAAGTGAGGGAAAGAAGAATATTAGCACTAAAAGATAGTGAACTTAATGCTAAACTAGAGTAACAATTATAATTCACTTATGCACTTTGACTATAATTCTTAAATGATGGTCATTATTAAGACTCTGTGGAAATTGTGAAAATCAGTTCCTGAAATGTTTAATGAGACTGACAATGACAAATGATCAGGGAGAGGGGAAAGGGGAAGGAATTGAAGGACAGACAAAGGGAAAGAAACAAACAATATTCCAAGAAAAAGAATGGATGCAAACTCATGAATATGAATTAGGCTTGGTTGATCAAGAAAAAAAATGGTTCTAAACTTGTTTCGTATATAGGGGGCGCTGGCATTTCGATTTTAAAATTATTTCTCAAATTTTCTTGAAAAAAAATTGGAAATAGCAAAAATCTGAATAGCTTCGTTTACTTTGTTAATGGAAAGTGCCCCTCCCCCCTGTTAGTTTAAAATCTCACAGTTTCCCTGGCCTCCCTGGCGAAAAGCGATGATGCGGTTTCCCCAGTGGCTGTCAAGAAGAGCTGGCTGTAGCCACACCCACCTCATTCCTCTGTCATCCATTACTTTTAAAATCTCGCAGTTTCCCTTCCCTGGGTGACTGCGAAGGGCGATGGATGGCAGGGGAATGTGGTCGGCGTGGCTACGCCCAGCTCTTCTTGACGGCCACTGGGGGCATGGCCTTCAGGAAGAGCTGGCTGTAGCCACACTCACCTCGCCCTTCCGCTTGTCACCAAGGAGGCCAGGGAAACTGCGAGATTGTAAAGTTTGCACCAGACATCCGAAAATAATTCCGAAAAATGGGTAAATTGTTTCAATTCGTAATTACTCCTCACACTATTCCAGCATGGCTCGAAATTGTTTCAAAAGTCATTTTAATACGAATTCATTCCGATTTTAGAAGCTTCCAAACCAGATCAACCAAGCCTAATATGTATATCCAAAAATAACTGGAAAGTCTTTGTATTTCCAGGTATTTTTGTCCATCTACAGGTAGCTTTATAATTTAACATTCCCCAGCCCTTGACCATAGACCAGAATGGTTAGAAGTGAAGGATTAATGAATAGCTAGATGTAAAGAATTTGGCCTTTGTAATTTTATGAATTAATAAAAGGACATGCACCTTATTGTACAATAATAAATTGATGCTGTAATGTTTAAATCCTTATTGGTTGGCTTTCAACAAGTCTCCACTGTCTTGTGAAAGCTTTTTTTCAGATGAGCATATCTCTTCCTTTTCTCTTTAATATACTCATTCCAATTTCTAACAAGGTACTGTATCACATTAGATGGTTTCTTTTAACAGGGAAAAGCTATCAAGTGCTGATATTCTTTCTGACCTCCTTTGCATTTGAGCATTTACAATGGTGTGACACACTAAAGAGCCTATTCAAAGTGTGTATGAGAAAGAGCAGATAGTAAATGGTGAAAGAAACCAAATATTTTTTTGGGAGGACTGAGAAATGAAACGGATATGCTTATAAATTAATTTATAGTTTGAATTGAGATAACGTATCTTTCTCCCCCAGATAGTGTATAAAACAGGTGATTTTTTAAAAAGGAAAAAGCAGAACTTTCATCGTTTGTTGGTACTTGTTTTTCATAAGAAAACGTTTTAGGCATAGTCCATAGCCCATCTTAGTTTCCACTATCTAAATGATAGCTGTTACTCCAGCTGACCCTGAATTATGTATCATGATCTTTAAATGCATACCTATATAAAATTTCTTCACCAAATAGAACAAATCTTCATATTGTTATATGTTTATTTGTTGGTCATCACATAAAATGCTACCTGATTAATGATAGTGAAATGTTGTATAAGACATCCTGTTGCTTTTTTTGGATCTGGAAAACAGATTCTCTTACCAGATTAGCTCTTCTGCTTCTTGAACCTGCATAATATGGAGGAAATTAAAGTTGGCAAGCCATATGTGGCAAGATGGCAGTGGATGGGAAGAAAGAAGGCATTACATTGATGGGGTTTGACTTCTCCTAGTTATAGGTTGGAAATGTTGATATGGTTATTAAATTCATCAGTGTACATGAAAAATCAATTATGGAAAGGAGACGTTTTAGCAACCAGTGTCTATGAAAGCCCATTCCTTGTCCAAAAAAGTGCCACTCTCCTTCCTTTATCAGTACCCCAGATTAGTTTCACCGGCTCGTGTTTTCAATGTCAAAGACCGCTGGCCATTTGGATCTTTTGTGTGTGTGTGTCCTGGATATTTTATTTTCAGGAGAAATGTAGAAACTTTATTGTATTTTAGAAGCTTCATGATGAGGGCTGGATTTAATAGACTTCTGGACACCAACACCAGGCAACTTTACATCCTCTCCTCTTTGCATTCTAGAACATCCAGGTAGCTTCCAGAGCCTAGAATACTTTACTTTCAGCAAGACCAAAGATTGAGGGATAGCATCCCACCACTCAGGGCTGTTAAATACAGTCGCCCTCTGTATTCACTGTGGTTATGACTTCCATGAAAGTTAAACACTACAAAGAAAGAAATTAATACAAATAAAGAAACAGTGGATTAATACCCTCTTGACCTTTTTCATCCTTGATTATACATACCACACTCAAGTATGCAAATGTCATCTTATACAGCATCTATTGCCACTCATTCCACAACATGTGTCAGTACTATTGAAATTCATTCACCAAATGGGGGCATTAAGTAGGTGAAGAGAAAGTGATAAAGTGAAATCCACCCAGCAAGTTCCAGGAAAAGGAAAGCTTTGAAGCTGGTATTTCCTGAACATCAACTCAGCTTCTATTATAATCCAGTGTTACCATAATAGTACTATAATAACTCAATCAGAAAATGATAAAAAAAATTCCCCAGACAAATATAAAAGTGAAAGATGGAACAGAATTATAATGTTCAGTAGACGACAGCCATTACCTATATAACTCTGAAGCACATGACGTCAAATAAGGCTTTATCTCATTCAAGCAACACAAGTGAGTTGAATTTGCACACACTGTAATATTGTTCTTCCCCACAAATGAAAACTAATTCTGAATCCAAAGGCAGAAATCAACTGCAATGTAATGGGCTGTTTCCAATTAATGGTATATCTAATGCAGAGAAGAGAATGCTTTCTTTTTATAAACATAACAGCTAAAGT